CACTCGACACTTTCGTTCTGGCTCGTGATTCGCTGAAAAACAACCTTGATCCTTCCCGCCCAGAAAAGTTTTCATCCCCCAATGGTCGGCGCCTATGAGCCATCGCAGATAGGAAAAAGCGGTCTGGGGGAGGCTGAGGAGAAACGCGAATAATAAAAATCGCCCCCATAACTCAAGCGGACAACTGGCAGGGGTTGGGCGCCTGAGCTTCTTATCTCTGTGCGGGGGTGACATTAGCGCTGCCGCGGCAATTCTCTGTACTACTTAAAGGGGCTGTCTGTGTTACCATCCGGGCTCACGTATATACGCTCAGACACGAGCAATACTTGCGCAATAAATGATACGTAAGAAGCCGACGATAAATCACCGAGTATCTGGCAATTATATCAATAACGACGACTATCGAGTATCGACGATGCGCCACGGAGGATATCTTCATCCGGTTACTTCCTTTATAACGTCGACAGTCCATATATCCGTAAAAATTCGTTAATCGCTGGTAAAATCATTGAGAAATTGCTTGGAGCGAATTAAAAAATTTTTATCAAAAAATTGAAATAGTATGTACGTATATACGATTCGTCGCTAGTCCGAAAACCGATATAGCCATTTCTTGTCGATTATCTTGGAAAGATATTTCAGTTTGCAATTCTAATAGCTATAATTGCTATATAAATTGTAGCTGTACTGTAACGTCACCGTTTCAGCTGTCACGTGGGTTTGGATATATCCGGGAATACTTGGGAAACTCTGCTGATACGTTTTACACCACGTGGAGACATGGAAATACGATAATTTACTACTCTGTATGGTAGGTAGCATATGCGAGTGTTCTCAACTAAAGACGTTACTTCCTCCATTCACGGACACCGCTAATACAATGGAGCTATTCATTACTCGAGCTATCTCCTCGTGGATGACTAGATGATATTATTTTATTATTAACTATGCATAAGTCAAGGCGCGTCGCGATTAAATCTCGAAACTCGTTACTTTCCCACACCTTGATTAATCCACCGCCATTCAGACCAGTTTCCTGGCCTCAGCCCAAATAACCGAATCCACCCCTGGTACAAAGTCAATGTCCGATGATTCCCTAAAATTTTCCAAAGATGAAATGGCTGCTGTCAACACACACTACAGTAGCTTTTTAACGTCCAGCAGCCCAGTTTCCGTACCCGTGTACCAAAAAATCTCAAATGTGCCATAAACAGCAGTTTCCAGAAAATCCAACATGCTCATAGAATTTTAAGGTTGTCCTCTAAGGCGCCATGTTTGAACCTCCTCCAAGACAGGTCATCAGGAGTCGATCGCAGCGGATAATCTGGGCTATCAGTGATGCCCGTCACCAAAGATTTACACCGCCTACTTGACTTGAATGACTCTAAATGACGTAACGATCGGCGAAACAGTAAATTTTCGGGTGCATTTGTCGCTGTGAGAAGCGTGTGTATCGTCTTGAGAGTATCGACGGGGGCCCCAGGTCCGCCAGGCCGTAAGGTTCCTTCGGCGAGCCCGACGGACCGCATTCTTCGCCGCGACGCGCATTGTTCCACCCGGAGCTCCTACTTCTCTTCCCTCACTCCTACATCTTGACTCTTCTTCTCCTCTCGCTCTGCCTCCTTCTGCGCCTCCTGCACACCTTACCCTCTTCCATGGACTTCTTTGCTCCTTGGTAGCCCTCGCGGTCGCTATTCCAGGAGCGGTTCCCTTCTTCGTGCCTTCTCGTCCCTCCCGAGCGCTTATAACAAGCCGGACTGCCTGGACTTTTACCTCGGCTGTTTTTTTTTCTTTCCCTTTTTTTCCCTCTTCGGTTCACTTTTTTCCCTTTTCTTTTTCTTACAGCCGAAAAACGCCAAGCGTCGATTTATGGCTTAACGGTTGACCGGTTGCGGTCTCTTGCCTATGATTCCTTAACCGTTGACCTTCGTGTTGAAAACCCATGCAAGAATACTAGCTTCCAAAAGGACCTTCCTTCACCTTATCTCATCGACCAATCCCTAATTCGACCTTGTCCTTTGGCAGAAATCGTTTTTATTCACCTTTTTTTTTTCTTTCTTTCCCGACACACTCACAGGTTGCAGTTTTACCTGTTTTCGGATAATACGCTTTAAATTCTGTGTAGGTCGTAAAACCACCTAACGGTGGGATATTCATTGAGCGTTTAAAACCTTGAGATCGCGAGGGCCGACCGTCCGGGGTTAAGCTTTATTTCTAATGTAAAAACGACAGAGTCAAGGATACCCTGTACGGCGGTGCGTGGGTGTATGGTGTATCGACCGTACTAGGGAATTAAGGATTTCTTGTTCTAGGGAGTTTTTAACAGTGTTGTAACACTTGCTGTAAAGATATCGTAATGACTTCGAGGCTCATCTATCTTACCTACATAAACCCACACACAATGTACCCACCGATGCAATTACTTACACGGCACGTGCAAATCTAACAGTGCATTACCTAACGCATAGACAAACGCATACAAAGGTCATACTATTCCGGCAAGTATAAATTTACCTGATAAATAACAAAGTCGTGTAATTTGTATACTAAAAAAATTGTCGATACACAATCGATTACACGTCACATATTTCACCACGATAACTATGAATTTACAGTTCTGATCTACATATTTCAAAAACAATAAACTAATGTAAATTTCAAGTATCCACCTTCCGCGTCTGTTAATCTCCATTGTACGAAGGCGCAGATAATAGATTTCAATTTGATTAAAACACCATATATGGCCCAGTGGCTCCATTATGCGCTCGCACATTAATTAGAACCGAAAACCGTGAAAGGCGAGGCCACACGAAATTTGGGCGTATAACCGACGAAGAAATTGAGTGGCCTTTCCATTCCACGATCCTCGGAACATGCATACGGAGTGTGTGCCAAGCGAAGTGCGTGGATCACGGATCGTAGAGCGTACACGCGCCCGCGGATTAGAGAGTTATTTGAGTCTCGGAGGCAGCCATAACTCTCCGAGGCTATTCCCGTGCCGCGCTCTCCCGCCGGAATATTTTAACATTGGAGTGGGTGGCTGCCACGACGGCAACGAGAGTTTAGCCGTGGAGTAAAGAGAGAAGTGAGACGTTGGTGGTAAAGAGAGCGAGGGGAAGTAGCGTCGGCGTCGGCGTCGGCGTCGGCTCTGGCCTGACTCGGTGACTAGAGGGGTCTACGTGTGTTCGGGAAGGCTTCCTGGGGTTTGAGGGACTGTGAGGCCAAGAGGAGAGGCCCGGGTGGCAGGGGGGGGGG